CACTATTATTCTCACCCCCATCCTGAAGCGGAGGAAACCAGGGGACTAAGTTTGCACAGGCCATATAGATGGTTCATAAAGGAGTCACCCTGGGAAAGTCTGGCTTCTGCCCCCATTTTTGTAACTGGCACACTCTGTTCCTTTCCAGAAAAGAAAACAAGTGCAGAAGTTTTGTGTCAACTCTTATTCATCCCCCCATCCTAGACCTGGTCAGGACTTCCCATTCTGCAGCCGAAAGTCCTTCAACAGCCTCTTCACTGACCTCCTGCTTCCAGCCTGGTCACCCTGAATCCTTTTCTCCCCACTGCCTTTGACACTGCCCTGCTTGGAACTCTTCAGTTATCCTTCACTGCCCACAGCAAATACCCAAATTCCTTTAAATTGCCCACCGAGCCTCTGGTGATCTGCCTAGGCCCACCTCCCTATCTTCCCTTTCTCACTTCCTCCAAGGTCAGTCTCCAACAACTCTGAATCCTTTCTGGTTTCCACTAAAACTCATTTTTGCCCACCCGGGCTTGTTTCCCCACTGGTTTTCCTGGGTGGAATGAATTTCCCCAGAACCATCTTCCATTTTATCTGGCTTATACCCATCCTTACCAAGTTAACTCATGTGCTGCCTCTCCCAGGAAGCCCCTCCTGACACCTCTCACCAGTACTGGTTACTAACAGACAGTTGTCAGACTCCATTGGCCACGTGGTCAGGACGCCTATTAGTGACTATAGATGCTTCCACACTAACTCTTCCTCAGCAAATGGGTCATGCACTCTCTGTACCTCTAAAATCACACTGAAAGTCTTTTGATGGCACTTTTTTTTCCAAAGTATTTTCAGGTATACACTAATAATAAAACTGAAGCTGATGTTGTTGTCACTTTTTGGGGAATACGTGACATCTAGCAGGAACCAAACAGAACTATAAATTGCCTAGCTGATGAAAACCCTCCATATATCCCTTGAGATCTTGTATAACTGGCTCAAACAGCTGCAGCATTCTCAAAAAAGGCATAGCACTTACAGTTAACTTTTTAACTAACTTTAATAGCAAGGATAGCTAAAGAAAGAAAACACCTGAAAATTCTCACAGCCAAGTAAATTTCAGGGGAAGGAAATGAGTTAACAAGATACCTGCAAAGTTGAGCAATTGTATTTTATACAAAAAAAAGGAAATGTAGATGGGGTTTATTGAACTTTGTGAAAAATTTGAACTCCTTCCTCCACATGTAAATTATACCCATTACACTGATGCCCACTATTGACTTCATTCTCCTCAGTGTTTCCCTTCACCCCTCACTTAACCCACTGCCTTTGAGTCAATATAAGACAGACATATGCTGCCAGTTTCAAGAAAGGTGGAGGTCTCCATTTACACTTTGTTAGCAATGGCACACACCTGTTGGAAACCACTGGCCGACTTAAAGGATAGTTAACTTAGAAAATTGGGTTTTAATTAAATTTTGAAATGAGTAGGATCTTGACACAATATGTTAGATATTTGCTTCCCAAGTATAAGAAGAGAAAAATAACTATTCAATCTATGAGCAAATCCAAGTGTTGTGCTGTGTCCTGTTCATATTAAGAATCCCTTATTCCTAACTCTGACAATCCAAATCCTTCCTGTCTTCAGATCCCAATTCAAATTTTATGCAGTCAGGAAACATGAACCAAGTCCGATGTTCCCTTTTTGGCTTGGGACTGAGATTTAGTCTTTTTCTTAGCCCCTAACTTCAGCCATTACTCAGAGCAAGTCATCAGGAAAAGGCTAAAAGAGTCCACTTGAGGGCATAGGGGGATGGGAATTCCCAGCACCAGCAGTCATATCCTCTTGACAAAGTTCAGACCTGCTCCATGACCTCCTGTTTCTTAAAGGGGAAAACACCTTCACTGATCTGGACCCTTAAACCAATATATCCACCATTGTATGGATGGCTCAGAAGGCAAGCCATGGGCCACTTGTTTAAAAGCTGGCATTTATTAAGCACCGACCCTAGACAAGGCACTAATAAGGGGCATTTGTACATAATTCCATTGACTCTGCACTCCAACCCTAGATCTAAGTATGATTGCTATTCCATTTTACTGGTAAGAAGTAAAGGAAACCTAGAGAGTGTACCCCTTCCAAGGCCTCCCAGGTTTTATGTGATAGAGCCTGAATTTGAAGCCAAGAAGTCTGTTCTTGCTCTCCCTTGCTTCATGCGTGGTATAAAGAGAATTCTAAGATGGCCCCGAGATTTCCACTGTCTAGTACACATATTTCCTTCCCCCTACAGAGGGATTTGTAAATATTATGGTATTGACATTTTCATGTTTATATGGGTGAGACTGACCTACTCAGTTGAGTCCTTTCAAAGATGCTAAAGCACCAAAGACATGCTCTTCTGATGAACTCAGAAGAAATTACCATCCAGTGCGGAGAACCACAGGGCAAGGAGCAATGTGACCTCTAGGAGTGGAGAGTATCTCCTACCTAAGAACCAGCAAGGAAGTGGAAGTATCAATTTTGTAGCTACAAGCCACTGAATTCTGCCAACAACACATAAACTTAGAAAGAGACCGTAAGCTCCAATAAGAAATGCAGCCTGGCCAACACCTTGATTTAACCCTGGTGAGGCCCTGAGCAGCAAACCTAATAGGCCATTCTCAGGTTTTTGACCTATAAGAGCCTTGACATAGAAACTCATGTTGTTTGAAGCACTCAAGTTTAAAGAACTTTGATATAATAAACATATGTTGCTTTAAGCACCAATCTTTTACAAGTTGAGCAAAAAACTGACAATGGAAAACTAGTAGTCTACGACCCTACCTTTCCCTCCATCTAGTTCTAACTCAGCCCCTGACCCTTGGTTCAGCACTCTCTTTTCAGTTTAGGCCTTTCCACGTCTTGACTTTGCAGACATTTCCTAGATTCTTTTGGGCTTGGAAGATCAAGGCTTTATTTGGCCACAACTTGGTTTTTTTTTTTTTTTTTCAGTTTCCCTTGCCCTCTTTCCAGGCCCTGAACCCAATCCTGGCAGTCACTAATGTGGCCAGACTTTCCCTTTTATAAGGAGAATTCTAAGCTAGAAATGCATGATGGTGTGTAGGGCTTTCTAAACAATATTATGAGGACACATAAAGCTCCGAATAAAGTCTCTATAAACCACTGAATTTTTTTATTTGTCTTTTGAGGGAGAATCAGGCACAGAGCTACAGAAAATAAAAAAGAAAAGGACCCAGAGTGCCAGGCTGTCATCTCCCACTGCATACAGATAAGCTCCCATTACTATATTTAATAACAAGATTTTGTTCTAAACAAAGGCTATAGTGCTAAGAAGTTAAAAAAAAAAAAAAAGGTTGGCCACCACTGGTGTCATAGAAGAGTGGTGTTAGCACTATCTCCATGTGATATGAAGCAACCATTTGAGATGTGTGAACTTCAGTCCACTCTTTTTCTGAAATGAGTAGACTGGACAAGATGATCTCCAAAGTCCCCTTCAACAATAAGATCCTATTATTGAAAGATTTTTAAGCCTAATGTTTTGGTGTGGCAGAATATCTTGACCTACTGGAAGCTGAAACTAATGACTGATTCAGGAAGAAGTTTCTCATCCCATCCAAGACCAAGGAAGGTTATATCCTTCTGTCTGGTGATCTTAGTGTCAACATGGCCATTTGCCTTTCCTCTAAAACCTTCAGGGTACATATGGGGGGTTTGGGTAGAGAGATTGAGGGGGTAGCCTGAATCCTGACTCAATGACAAGCTTCCTGGAAGACCCTGCTCCCCACCAACTGCCAAATGCCCTGGGATCAGGAAGTGCTGTAGGAAAACTAAAATCAGATTTGTAGGAGGAAGAAAGAAAAAATAATAATAATTGTAGGTCAGGATCTCAATTTGGAAAAAATGAAAACAAAGAAAGTGTCTTCTTGTAATTTGTCTTTGATTTTAGACTTCTTTGGAGAGTTTTCATCCAAGGGTTATGTAGAAATAGGACAGGTTGAGTGGGCAGGTGCATCTGTAGAGAGGACTCTGGGAACATAAAAGATTTTCTGTTTCCACACAGAAGCAGACCATAAGAATTTTCTGATGCCAGGAATCCCTTGAAATTTGTTTAAAAATCATTTAAAAAAATTATTTTGAGGTGGCATCTGTGGCTCAAAGGAGTAGGGCACTGGCCCCATATATTGGAGGTGGCAGGTTCAAAAACCCAGTCCTGGGCCAAAAAAAAACTGCAAAAAAAATTTTTTTTCCAGAATATTATAAAACTTACAAACATTTTGCTTACATAAATTGCTTTTGTACTATCTGAGGCAAAGTTATAAGTGTCCCCATCACCCAGACATAAGTATTAACTGATTGGTTCTAATTTAATAGTGAAGACATGTGGTGTTTGTTTTTCATTCTTGTGATACTTCACTTAGAAGAATGGTGTCCAGTTCCAACCAGGTTGTTAAAAAAAGCTATTCATTCACTATTTTTTATGGCTGAGTAGTACTCCATGGAATACACATATCGCATTTTGTTAATCCACTCATTTTTTTTGGTAAATATGTGAAATTTTCATTTTTTTGTATGGTTTTCTGTCACAGTAGTACAAATGCATTTCTCTACAACCACTCCAACATAGCTCCTTTGGAAGTACTCTAGTCATCACTAATGTAGGACTTTACCTAAAGCCATATCAATAAACAAAATTTCAAATGACTAACTTTTAGATGAATGGATAAGAAATAGTCATCAGTTGTGTTAATAATCCAACAAGACACTCTGTCAAAATATTTCTTCTTATATAGTAATTTTAAGTCATAACATTCAAAAATGAGGGCAGAACAAGAGTATAATATAAGAAGCTTGTACAGTGTAAGCCTCCCACAGTCTTAAGCCTGACATAAGCAAGGCAAAGCGTCTGTCCTGGAAACTAAATGGGCCTCCAGTATTTCCATTTAGTTAAGCTTTCACAGATAGATGCTCAAGACATATCATTAATAAATAAATAAATACCAATACTATCTTGGCTCTGTTTGCATTAATTATACCTGAACAGTTTAATAGCCATCTGAGTCCAACGTTGGAAGAATGCATACACTGGTATGGTAATCAGCAAGAACAGAGTGTAAAACCAAAGACTGGTTGTGCTAGTGCAGCCATATGGGTAGTTTTCTGCCAAAGAGACCAGTGGAATGAGAACAGTCAAGGTAGGAAGAGACAGAAACATCCTTCTCTTTCATTTATTAACCCCCCACCTTACTTTCAAAGGGATGTATGGTATTAAGAAAACTTAGTTGTAGTTTTTTATTTGTTTGTTTTTTTAATTATGACCTAGTGCTGTCCCATTTCTTTTTGCTTCTAACTTTGATGTGTCATCTTAGATCCCTGTGGTATAATATTAGGAATCTCGATGACTGGATAGGCTCTTCTCAGACCTTCATTAATCAATTCACTCCTTGATGCTTCATATCTGAGCAGCCTCTTGGAGAGTGGACTCAGTAGGAACTCGAGCTGTGCCAGGTGAAGGCACAGAGTGGCTCTACTGCCTGTTCATTCCCAGTCTGCCAAAGGGCCATGACCCTAACATGTGCAGGCACCTCTGGGCCACTGCAGATGTTGGTGAGTGTGTCCCCTGCAGAGCTCAGGGGAGACTGCCACTTGCTCTGCTCAGCATGGTCCTGCCTCCCTGTGCTCTCTGCCATACACACACACACACACACACACACGTATGCGTGTCTATATATATATACACATACACACATATATAATGCTTTCCCCCCCTTTGGGTAAATGCCCAGTAGTAGGAATGCCGGATCAAACAGTAGGTCTATTTTTAGTTTTTCAAAGAATCCCCACAGTACTTTCCATAGAGGTTGTACTAGTTTGCAGTCCCACAAACAGTGTATGAGGGTCCCTGTCCCTCCACATCCAAGTCAGCATTGTTGTTTGTGGACTTTTTGATAAAAGCCATTCTCACTGGATTTAAGTAATATCTCACATGGTTTTGATTTGCATTTCCCTGATGATTAGAGATATTGAACATTTTTCCTAGTTCTGTTGGCCATTAGTCTTCTTTTGAAAAGTTCATGTTCATGTCTTTTGTCCCCTTTTGTTTTTCTCTTGCTGATTTGCTTGAGTTCTTTGTAAATTCTGGTTATCAACACTTTATCAGATGTATAGCATGTAAATGTTTTCTCCCATTCTGTAGGTTGTCTATTCACTTTTATTATTATTTCTTGGGCTGTGCAAAAGTTTTTTTAATTTGTTCAATTCCCTTTTATTTATTTTTGTTGTTGCTGTCATTGCTTTTGGAGTCTTCTTCATAAATTCTTTACATAGGCCAATGTCTCTAAGTGTTTTTTCAACTTCCAGAATTCTTAGTCTCATGTCTTAAGCTTAGGTCTATTATCCATCACAAGTTAAGTTTTGTGAGTAGGGAAAAGTGTGGATTCTGTTTCAGTCTTCTACCTATGCCTATCTGATTTTCCCAGCACCATTTATTGAATAGGGATCCTTTTCCTTAGTGTAGGTTTTTGTTTGCTTTGCCAAATAGCAGATGGCAATATAAGGATACTTTTCTATATGTGTTCTCTGTTCTGACCTATAGGTTTATGTCTCTGTTTTTGTGGCAGTACCATGCTGTTTTGGTTACCTGCAGTATAGCTCAATACCTCTGGACTTATTCTTTTCCTACAAGATTGCATTTTCTTTCTTTCTTTTTTTTTTTGCAGATTTTTGGCTGGGGCTAGGTTTGAACCCTTCATCTCTGGCATATGAAACCAGCGCCCTACCCTTTTGAGCCACAAGGGCTTCCGAGGTTGCATTTTCTATTTAGGCTTTTTTCTGGTTTGCTGTGAAGCATAGAATTATTTTTTCTAGATCTTCAAAAAATGATATTGGTATTTTAACGGGGATTCCATCAAATATGTAGATCATTTTGGGTAGTACAGACATTTTAGCAACGTCGATTCTGCTGATCCATGAGCATGTTATATTTTTCTGTCTGTTTACATCCTATGCCATTTCCTTCTTTAGAGTTTCATAATTTTCCCTATAGAGATCTTTCATATCCTTAAATATATTTCTGTGCATCTTATTTTCTTTGTCAATATTGTGAAGGGAATTGAGTTTTTAATTTTGGTTCTCAGCTTGATTGTGTTGCCATGCATGAATGCTACTGATTTGTGTACAATGATTTTGTAACCTAAGATTTTGCTGAATTCATTTATCAATTTTAGGACTCTCTTGACAGAATCTTTGGGGTTTTCTAGATATAAGATCATAACAGCACCAAACAGCAATAGTTGGATTTCTCCTTTCTCCATTTGAATACCCTTGATTGCCTTCTCTTGTCTGATTGATCTGGCTAGGACTTCCAGAACTATGTTGAATAGAAGTGATGATAGAGGACAACCTGGTCCAGTTCTGGTTGTAAGTGGGAATGCTTTCAGATTTTCTCTGTTCGGTGTGATATTGGCTATGGTATTGTCACATATGGTTTTGACAATTTTGAAGTAAGTTGTAACTATGCCTATTTTGTTAAGCATTCTTATGATAAAAGGGCACTGAATTTCGTCAGATGCTTTCTCTGCATTTATTGAAAGGATCATATGGTCTTTGTTTTTACTTCTATCTATAAATATCATTGTTTTGCAATGATAATTAAGTTTGAAAACTAAAATGTTCCTGAAACTAAAGTTTGAATAACTTATGGTGGAAAAGTTCCAAATATCAAATTTTCCAGGTAGCATATGTATATGAGACAGAGGTTTTCTGATTTCACCACATTAATCGTGAACTTGAGTGTGTGTGTGTTTGTGTGTGTGTTTAGGGATGTGCTATTTACTTTAGTTAAGGCACTTTTCATTTTTCAGTAAACTGCAGGGTTAGGATTCAATCCTAGGACTTGACAGCTATGTTTTCCTTTCTAGGATTATTTCAAAAGAACCCAGAACAAACTGAGTTATGACAAACCTGGAGAATTTCACAGAAACCAACCTTCAACAAAGCTCTTTGTCTAGAGTTCAACATTGGAGTGCAGTGAACACTACTGGTGCTTCATTCAAATCCTTTCCACGCGTGGCACATTCATCATGCTTGGTACCTCCAATCCTCTGAGATGATCTGCTATAACTTATGTTCCAAAGCTTATTTCCGTTGAGTTGGGTAAAAGCCTACATTTCCTTGGCTTTGTCTCTATCCGATTTTGTTTCTCCCACTCCTTCAGAGGTTTCTTCTTAAAGCACATTCATAATAAATTCCTTGAACCCAAATCTTTAACTCAGATCACTTCATGGAGACACCAAGATACGACTTTATGAGAGAATTTTAAGTGAATGACAGTGCAGTTTTTCTGCTATTTTACCTTATTTATTGAATTTCTCTTCTATCAGTTCTTCAGGGAGTTTCTAACCCCAGTTTACATTGTTTATGTTCTTGGTCTGGTAGAAAAGTAAAATAGTTCTCTAACCATCTATTTCAATATATCCCACTTAATGCTATAGCAAATGTCCAGGGAACTGGTTAATAATACAATGTCAGCTTTCCTCATTTCAGTTAGCTGATCAAAAGAATATGGCTTTATCTTTCAGAAGAGAAGAGTTACAATGACATATTTTTGATTGTGCAGAATCAAGTCATTCTCTTTTGGAGATTGTGAAAGCATTCTGATTGCTTCACATAATGGGACTTATTCTGGACTAAGCAATCAAGTGTATAAGGGATATAATAATCGAGATGTAATTGATCCCTGTATTGGCATTACTCCAAATAAAGCAGAAAATGCAATCTTTAGACCCATTCAGTTTTCCATTAAGTAGAAGACTAAACTGAAATAGAGGGATGTGATATTTAACAAGAATCCCTGGCTGGCCTAAACGATTCATTACATTTGAATTCATCTTAGAAAGAAGGAATCAAAGAGAATCTTAGTCTATAGACATTTGCTCTTCTTACCTGTAAACCAATCAATCAATAAATAAGTAAATAAAAAGAAAAAACTATCCAAACTTGTTAGAAAATAACCTTCCTGGAGCAGAGAGAATATGCTTTATGTTTAGTGGAAAATAGTGCATGAAAAGGAATGAAACAAAAATTTATGTTGCAAGACAAATTCCTGAAGTCTACTGGGCTGCCACATTGTACAATAAGGCAATTTCCTATGCACTTGTACCCAGTAGCAATGAACCTGGGACCCCTTGTTAGGGAGAGACAGAGAGAAAGGAAAGAAGAGCAGTAAGAGAGCAGGCACAAATGCAAAAACCAAGTTTAGAGGTACTCAGCTGCACACTATTCTCCAATCTCTCAATGACAGATAATTGTTCAAAGTCCCTTTCTCTCAGCACCATTGATATACAAAGAAATTCATGCTGCATATTGAATCACCCATTTATGCTTGACAAATGACAGACACTCAACCAATATTTGTTGAATTCTTAAATATATGAAAGAAAAGATGGGCAAGTGAATGATGGAGAGAGAGATGGGTAAATGAAGAAATGGATAAGTGAATGGTAAATTATGGTGAAGAGATATTAAATGAAGTAGCATGAGTGAGAGATCTCACAAAAAATAGAAAGTAAACTCCTCTTCCTCCTGTGCCTTTTTGTGGAGCCCATTCCCAGGTATCTTCTGTCTTTTAGGTCTCTGCCCTCTTTCTGATTAAATGTGATTCCAAGAAAAAAACCGATAAACTCATTCCCATGAAACCAAGAATATTGACAGAATGTAATTAAGCCACACATTTTTTAAAAAATTGAATAACATATAAACTCTGTTAGAGAAAAAAATGACAGAATTTGAACATACATTCATTAAGTTCATTGCAGTATAGACACAACATTGCACAGCAGCAGGGGCCACCATTCACATAGACTAACATGTGTCCCTGGGGCCACCATTCACATAGACTAACACATGTCCCTTGGACCACCATTCACATAGAAAAACATATGTCGACTGGACCACCATTCACATAAACTAACATGTGTCCCCTGGATCACCATTCACATAGAAAAACATGTGTCAACTGGATCACCATTCACATAGACCAACATCTATCCACTGGGCCACCATTCAAATAAACTAACGTGTGTCCTGGGGCCACCATTCACATAGACTGACGTGTCCCCTTGGGCCACCATTCACATAGACTGACGTGTGTCCCTGGGGCCACCATTCACATAGACTGACATGTGTCCTGGGGCCACCATTCACATAGACTGAC